ATGTCTTGAGAAAGGAAATAAACATTTCCGAAAGCTTGACAACAACACAGAGTGTTCTTATTATATTAGCCCTTAGCACTGTTGACTGCAATCCCAAATACATCACTGTTTTTTTCATATATATATATATATTGCCAAAGCGTTAGACGACTGTCTAAGTTAACTAACAAAATTCTAAATATAGTCGGGTCTGCAGTCAAAGCCAAATTTGAAGTGTACTCTTCTTTATGACTCGAGCTTTCGGAACAAAATTATTCCCGCCTTAGGAGAAAAAAATTTTGAGGTTTGAATCAAAAAATTTTTATTAACCAAGTTTAAAACAAAATCCATTTGAATCATCAGTCATAACCGTACGATACGTAAAAATCTATTGTTAAAAACATTCATTAACACTATTGCTAACATATTTATACTAAAATTGTTTAAAATTTTGAGCTATTACTTTACAATTACATTTTAAAACTATATAACCTTAAAAACTTTTTCAGTTTGCTTGCTTGCTTGCTTGCTCAGTTGTTCCTTAAATGTGGTTACCCAAGTAAGCTTGTTAACAAAATTCTTTTTAATAGAAATAATGATTTACGAGTTCTTTCTCCTTCACATTCTGTTCTTGATGGTGGGTCAGGCAGCACTTCCCGTATAAACAGTGTTGTTAATAATATTTCGGTTCACTCAAATTTTTCATATTTTTCATTATATAGAATCTATAACTTGGAAATTAAAAAACATTTTTTCAGATATGAATGACATTCGACTAGCTTTTACGAATAAGTTAATTATTAAAAATATTTTTTCTAGTCTTAAGGATGAGGTTCCTTTATTACATAAATCTAATGTGGTGTGTAGTATTCCATGTAAGGATTGTCAAAAAGTTTATATTGGGCAAACTGGTAGGAGGCTTAAAGATAGGATTGTTTCTCATAAAAGTGACATTAGACTTAATAAAAATTCTTGTATGTTGTCGAACCATACAAATAGTTGTAAACATGATATTGATTTTAACGAAGTAAGTATAAAATTTACAGAAAATAATGTTTTTAAAAGAAATTTCCTTGAGATGTGCAGCATCTTTCAATGTGAGAACACTATGAATAGACGTTCTGACATTGATAACTTAAGTATCATGTTCACATATTTGTTAAGTATTAATAATAATAATTCTTCTATTAATGACGTTAGTGAATCCAGCTTATAGAAATTATTTTTCAAAATTTAGCGCTAAATTTCACTTTCTTCTTATTTCTAAAATTTACTTGTTCCATGGTTGTCTCAATCATTTTGTTCTGTTTACTTTTTGTGTCAGTAAAATTTTGGTTATGATTCTTTGGTTCAATTATGATTCCATGCTGCCACATGGCTGAGCAAAGTTTTTAAGGTTATACAGTTTTTGTTAAAAAATGTAATTGTAAAGTAATAGTTCAAAATTTTAAACAATTTTAATATGTGTATATGTTAACAATAGGGTTAAGGAAGGTTTTTAACAATAGATTTTCAAGTATCGTACTGTTGTGACTGATGATTCAGATGGATTTTGTTTTAAACTTGGTTAAAAAATTTTTTGATTCAAATCTCAATTTTGTAAGTATAAATTAGATTATTACTTGTGGTTGTTATCAATGTATATTCCATTATAGTTTCTCCTGAGGCAGGAATAATTTTGTTCCGAAAGCTCGAGTAATAAAAAAGAGTACACTTCAAATTTGGCTTTGACTGCAGACCCGACTATATTTAGAATTTTGTTAGTTAACTTAGACAGTCGTCTAACGCTTTGGCAATATATATATATATATGAAAAAAACAGTGATGTATTTGGGATTGCAGTCAACAGTGCTAAGGGCTAATATAATAAGAACACTCTGTTGTTGTCAAGCTTTCGAAAATGTTTATTTCCTTTCTCAAGACATCTATAAAAAATGACAAAAATGCTTAGAATAATAAGTTATAAAAGCTTATTATATACTTACAAACGTGAGATTATAATATAAAACCATCAAAAGAGAGAGATACAAGAACATTGTTAAAATTTTATGAACTTCACTAGATTAAAAATAATTGTAATTATAGTCAACATTTTTTAAAAAACAATTTTTCAGTCAATTTTTAACATTTAACAATTAATACAGTAAAAAGGAGCCATGCCTTTGAAATGTGAACTATTTTTTATATCTTTATCAGAAGTTTTTTTTTAAACAATCTAATATTCAAACTAGTAACAGCCAATGAGGTTAAAGAACAACATACAGGGACAATTAGCATTGCCAACCACAGTACCAACTTAAAACGGAGGCGGCAAATCACTCCAAATTTGAAAAAGACATAGGTAAATTTCTATATTTATCAAAATGTAATAAAAAATTATAAATACAACCCAAATTATTAATATCTGACTTTTTATTCAGAGCATTAGAAAATTCATTGATACGAACCATTTCCAGAAAAACACGCTTATTATAGTTTATTTCACTGTCCAAAACTGTGACATCGTTAAAATTCATTTTGTGGCCTGTACTTAATGTATGTTCTGAAAAAGCACAGGACGTTTTTTTTTAAATTACAATCACTTTTGTGGGATGTAAGTCTACCTTTTAGAGTACGGCATGTTTGTCCAATGTATGTCTGGTTACAATTAAAACAATCAATTTTATAAACAACCTCCGATTTTTTCCAATTTATGGTAAGGTTCTTTAGTTCTAGAAAAAAGTCTATTGCAAGTGAGTAAATTTTTATATCCAATTTTAACATTTAAATCTTTTATAATATACAGTAATTTTGGTGCAAGTTCTTTTGAAAACAACGATCGAACAATCTATTATGTAATGGGGAAACATTATTAGTATCAGTATTAAACAAAATTTTATTGACTAGATTTTCTGGGTAGGAATTCTCTATCAACACTGTTTTTAACTCATTAGGCGATTAAACGTTACGTAGATGATTTGATTCTGGCAGTTCCACAGAATGAGATAGATAACACTCTAAGGGTTTTTAACAGTTATGATAATGACATCCAGTTCGCCGTTGAAAGGGAGCAGAACAACTGCATCCCGTTTTTGGATATGTTAATACATAGAGACCAACATAATAAGTTAGCCACGAAATGGTATGGAAAATCTATGAGTAGTGGCAGGTACATTAATATTCATTCATACCGTCAAAATAGAATGAAACTGAATCTAATCTCAGCCCTTAAAGCCAGGGTATGTAAACTGACACACCCCAGTTTCTTAAATCAATCGCTTAATGAATTAAAAACACTGTTGATACAGAATTCCTACCCAGAAAATTTAGTCAATAAAATTTTGTTTAATACTAATACTAATAATGTTTCCCCATTACATAATAGATTGTTCGATAACAGCGTAGAAACTGATAACAATTTACAGATTACGACGCCCAAATATAAATCGTTTTTGTATTTAAAAGAACTTGCACCAAAATTACTGTATATTATAGAGAATTTAAATGTTAAAATTGGATATAAAAATTTACTCTCTTGCTATAGACTTTTTTCTAGAACTAAAGAACCTTACTATTGGAAAAATCGGGGGTTGTTTATAAAATTGATTGTTTTAATTGTAACCAGACATACATTGGACAAACAAGCCGTACTCTAAAAAGTAGATTTACATCCCACAAAAGTGATTGTAATTTAAAAAAAACGTCATGTGTTCTTTCAGAACATACATTAAGTACAGGCCACAAAATGAATTTTAACGGTGTCACAGTTTTGGACAGTGAAATAAACTATAATAAACATGTTTTTCTGGAAATGCTTCGTATCAATGAATTTTCTAATGCTCTGTATAAAAAGCCAGATATTAATAATTTGAGTTGTATCTATAATTTTTTATTACATTTTGATAAATATAGAAATTTACCTATGTCGTTTTCAAATTTGGAGTGATTTGCCGCCTCCGTTTTAATTTGGTACTGTGGTTGGCAATGCTAATTCTCCCTGTATGTTGTTCTTTAACCTCATTGGCTGTTACTAGTTTGAATATTAGTAGATTGTTTTCAAAATAACTTGTTCTGATAAAGATATAAAAAATAGTTCACATTTCAAAGGCATGGCTCCTTTTTACTGTATTAGTTGTTAAATGTAAAAATTTACTGAAAAATTGTTTTTAAAAAATGTTGACTATAGTTACAATTGTTTTTAATCTAGTGAAGTTCATAAAATTTTAACAACAATGTTCTTGTATCTCTGTTTTTTGATGGTTTTTATATTATAATCTCACGTTTGTAAGTATATAATAAGCTTTTATAACTTATTATTCTAAGCATTTTTGTCATTTTTTATAGATGTCTTGAGAAAGGAAATAAACATTTCCGAGAGCTTGACAACAACATAGAATGTTTGTATTATATAAGCCCTTAACACTGTTGATTGCAATCCCAAATACATCACTGCTTATTTTCTTAACTAGTCAGTCAAGACTACCCTTCCTGCTCTATATAAATAACGTGGAAATCTTCTTGAACCTTTTGTTTAATATTAAAATATATTTATTTTCTTGGGAATTGGGTTCTGATGTGATAGTCGGTTGAAAGATAAAAGAAACAGCAGCGATTTCTTTCTTGACGTTTCGTTCCTGATCGGGAACTTTTTCAAAAGGCTTTTATTGTTAAAATTGTTATAGTTAATTAAATAAAACCTAAAATACAAAACAAACTACTTAATATTTAGAAACATTTTTTTCCTGTGATTACAATTAATTTAATAAAAATATAATTTTGTCAATGCATACATAAACAACCATTCTCCGTAAAAAAAAATTTAAAATATGCATCAGTCATCGTACATTGGATAAATTTTCACAATATAAATATTATTGTGTTTTTTCATTATAAATTTGAAAAAGGCTTTAATTTTTAAATGTTGCAAGCGTATCAGGAAAATATTTTTAATCGGCAATGTGGTACGTGGATACGTTGGAAATGAAATGAGCCATATAATTATGATAAAATCGAAACAGGTAGTACGCCTAGCGGAGAATTTTTGTAAATTAAAAACAGAAAGGACATTAGTAATTTTATTGGAAATTATATTTTAAATGTATAGAAAACTATTTTAAATGTTATTTGTTTATATGATATTCACGCCGAGTATGTATCCCATTTTATCATAATAACAGTTACGTTATTTCAGGGTTAAACGTTAAAGTTAATGTTAAATGTTAATTAAGGAATTAAGACCATTTTTAACAAATACCCGTATTGCAATTTTGTTGTTTTTTGAAGACGCTTTTGTGTCGACATTTTTAATAATAATTATGGAAAATTATTGTAAACAAGAGTCAGTGTTAGACAAAAAAACATATAACTGACAGATGTCTTTTAGGTTATGAAACATGAAACAAATGCAAGCTGGTAAATAACGGGTAAGTAAGTGCGACATAAAATAGTTTGTAATAGCTGTTATACATTGACAATTTATTCATGAATAAATTGATGAAGTTCTTCATGAATTAATTCACGAATTTATTGGTAAACAGTGTGGTTTTACACTGTTACAGTTTTTATCAAGTTTTTCGACGCATGAATCAGTTCTACCAACAAATCAAAGAACCAAATAATTTCAAAAATGTCACCTTTCCCCTCATAATTGTAATGATACATCAGCGGTATTGTTTTAACACATATTATATAAATATTAGTTTTTGTAAGTAACAAATCAGTAAAAACAAAGCAAAACTAGTACACCACACAATTATTTACATATTCCAATAACATAACCTCATTACTGATCTCGCGCGCCATTATTCCATGGCTAGAAATTGGCCTCAATGATTTGGGATCGATGGGGATTATCCCTCTTTATCCTGCCTCATCTCGTGTAGGCCTGGACAGCCTTCGTAGGTGGGCCCCATCCGTCGTCAACCCTGACAGCAAATGCGTCCGGTGTAGGCGCTTTGTGGGACCTCCGTTTGTCCTGGCTGGGCCCCGCCGGCTAAGGCCCTAAATTACTGATTTGAGACTGGAAATCTGTTGGATTGGTACTTCTGAACTTGACGAAGAAATTTATGAAAATTAGAACATGTTCTAATTCGTCAAAAACTTGATGAATAAATTCGTAAAGTTATTTGACAGCAGATTTGGTGCATTACACTTATCTAATTTCTTGATGAAACGACTTGATGAATTAATTCATCAATAAATTGTCAATGTAAAACAGCTATAACACGTTATCTTAAATTATAACAGAGTTTCTTAAAGGCAAGGAATTTGGTGTCGCTATAGTTTAACGTACGTGTTATTTGTCTAATAAAAATAAACGGCTTGTTAAATTTACACTTACTTGCCGGTTTTATAAACGCACATCGAAGGTAAGTTGTAAAATTTAAGTAACTTAAGTATTTATCCTAAAATTATTGTTAGGTTAAATCAAACGAAGAAGGATCTAACAAGGAAACTACCCCAACCCGAACTCTCCGATTTCCAATATTTTTATATATGTTGTAGACTTGGTTGTAGAACATAAAAAATTAAATGACATATTTTTTTTATCGGCGGAAAAACATATTTAGGGGGCGAAATACATCATCAAAGTTCGCCCCCCAAAACACTTTTTTCTAAATATCTGGGGTTCTAATCAATATTTTGGAATGAACCAAAATGGAAATTGCTTCTTATAAAAAAACAAATGTTTCACATGAGATTCTGTGTTTGGGGGTTGCTACCCCTATTTTTTATTTCAGAAAAACTATATTTTTCAAACATTTTTTATATATAAAAATTCATATTTGTTAAAAAAATTAAAAATATGATTTATATAAATAAATTTTGCGCTGTACGTTATATTTGTTTCATGTTTCATAACCTAAAAGAACTATTTTAGTTGTATGTGTTTTTGTCTATTGATTCGGGTATTTATAATAATTCTGCATTATTATTATTAAATATGTCGGTGAAATACATCCTCAAAGTTAACCCCTCAAAACAGTTTTGTTCTAAATATCTGGGGTTCTAATCAATATTTTGGAATTAAACAACATGCAATGTTACATCTTATAAAAAAACAGATGTTTCGTTAGTGATTTCGTGTTTCTCTAATCATACGAATAATTTGTCAACCGAATTTAAACGGATGCAAACTACCCCTCATGTTCACCCCCAAAAACAGTATTTCTGTAACATCTCGGGTTCTAATCAATATTTTGAAATGAAACAAAATGGAAATTATTTCTTATACAAAAAAACAGAAGTGATACCCCAGATATTTAGAAAAAACTGTTTTGAGGTACAAACTTTGAAGATGTATTTCACCGACATATTTAATAATAATAATAATGCAGAATTATTATAAATACCCGACTCAATAGACAAAAACACATACAACTAAAAGAGTTCTTTTAGGTTATGAAACGTGAAACAAATACAACGTAGAGCGCAAACTCGTAAATAACAGGTACCTACGTACAACATAAAATAGCGGCCGTTTTCAGTCTCATTTCATTACAATTAAATAACATAACGTCTGTTTCACGAATACTTACTATAAGATATACGTTATTACGGCACGTTATTTATAAACGTTATTTCTAACATAAGGTTTTAACATAAATGGGATACATACTCAACCTGAATAAGTGGAAATAACTAAAACATAATTATTATTATTTGATTAAATTATGATATATTTGACTTAAGTTTTTAATGTCAGTTTTGTCGTTAATACTGTTTTTATTTTTTTTATTTGAATCATTTCTTGGATTAATCTTTTAATATAGTTTGGTTTTTTGACAAGAATTTTAGTTTGATCAAAATTAAAACTACGTTTTTTTTCTTTAACATGTTTTTAAGGGCTGTTGCACAATTTTTAGTATATTTATGGCCCTTTAATTTGTTTTCTAAATTTTGTGATGTCATACCTATATAATGACCATTGCAATCATTGCAAGGAATAGAATATACTACATGAGATTGTTTTAGTATAGAAGTTTTACTTTTTAAAGGTGTGAAAAATGTATTTAATTGATTGAACGATTTATGAGCAACTAAAATGTATTTAGATAAAATAGATTTAATTTTTTCAGATAAAGATTGTACATATGGTAATGCAATATATTGAAAATTGATAGAGTTATGATTAGAATTTATTGTTTTTTNTTATGAGCAACTAAAATGTTGTATTTAGATAAAATAGATTTAATTTTTTCGGATAAAGATTGTACATATGGTAATGCAATATACTGAAAATTGATAGTTATGATTAGAATTTATTGGCTTTTTGTTTTTGGATGTATTATAAAAATTGAAGATTCTGTTTGATAATTTTGTTATAAAACTTGGGAGGGTAATTATTATTTAGTAATATGTTTTTTTATTTTATTTATAATTTTAGGCCTATAAATAGGACTAGTTAAATGTATTGCTCTATTAATTAAACCAATAACTACACTTTTTTTATGTTATCGAGTGGGGAGAATTGAAATTTAAATATCGACCTGGGTTTTGTAAACCATTTAGTTAAAATCTGATTATTTTTGCGGATTAAAGTTAAATCGAGAATCGAGAAAATTAATTTTGTTTTTATTTTCAGTTTCGATAGTAAATTGTAATTTTGCATGAAAATTGTTACTCATTTAAAATATTATTAATTTTATTTTCGGGAAGTGCGATAATCAACATATCTTTTGAAAAATAATATATCAAAATCTAAATTATTATTTACTTCTTCCAAATATTCCATAGTTAATTATTGTGCTTGTTGATGAAATCGGTGCTCCCATTGCACAATGACTCTTTTGACGCATTTGAATCACTCATTGCTGCAACGAATTATGTGGAAAATGAAGTTGATTGCATGGAAAATATAGGAAACGAAACCATGGAAGATGAAGAAAATGAATCACAATCGAGGGAATTGAAGAGAAGAATTGAAACATAACAGTGATATACTTAAATAAGCTTTGAAAATAAAGAATGTAATCGACAAAAGTTTTTATACCACGTAATTTTCTGTACGATAATTAAATAAATATTTTGTAATAATTTTATAACAAAAAGATATAATTACCATAAAACGTTGTACTTACTTTATTTCATAAACAATTAATGAAATGTTAACAAGAGGTGAAAGAATTTTAGACTAAAGGAAAATTTCATTTTTCAAAGGTACTTTTTTGCTCGCCGAGGGCTACATTTACAGCAAGTAACAAGTTTCAAAAGTTTATTTTGCAAGAAATATAGCAACAACAAAAAAGTCGATTTTTGACGGTTTTTTCGATATACTGAGATAAATCACATATTTATTAAATTAATATTAAATATAAATTATACAGTTTGCAATTATTACAATACATATCTCGAAATGTAATATAGCAATCAATATAATTTAAAAATACCAATCGATAGGTTTTTTAATAGCTACAACTTTCTCATTTAACTTTTTTCGATTGTAGTTCAAGTTTTTTTTATTAGTGAAGAAACGGTTTTGTTACATTTATGAATTTTGCCGTTTATGCACCACAGGAAAAATACACTATCTTTCTTAGAATTGTTTTCCTATATCACCATATTGTTTGTTTCCAGATGGTATTTTTTGTAAATTTAACATAAGGCCGTGACAGATTGATTGGACTGTAAACTATAGGACTTAAATAAGATAATCTGATAACCATTGATGAGGGAATATCAAAATTAATTAATTAGTAACAGAAATTCTGACTAAAGCCTTGTCTGATTAGAGAGGTTATACTGTAATACACTTATACTTATATAATTTTATATCCGTGTTTACATTTTATTAAAGGTAAGGAGACAGCATCAGGATAGGGCAATTGACTTTCTAGTTAAAGAACTGAAAGTATGTACTGCTAAGGAAGCTGAGGAGAGAATCTTTTTTATTTCTGCTAAGGAAGTCCTTCAGGCACGATTGGCAGAACAGTGTCATACTGTTTTAACTCCATTAACAGATGGTTTTCAAACAAGATACTTTGAATTCCAAGATTTTGAGAGAAAATTCGAAGAATGCATTTCTAAATCTGCTGTTAAAACTAAATTTGAACAACACTCTCAAAGAGGACGATATATTGCTAGGTAAGTACTAAAAAAAATTTTGCTTGTTCCTAAGTTATTTATTTTTTTCAGTGAACTTCGTGATATATTAGATGGTATATATAGTGATGCATTGAAGTTAAAAGAAGAAAAGTTAATGCAGCGTAAGGAATTAACGGATAAAATTACTTATACTGAACAACAATTAATAATTATTACTCAAGAAATGAAAAAGAAAATTCATTGTATGGTGGAAGATGTCGAGCAAAGGTAATAATTGATTGTTTTCAAAAATATGTTTGTTAAAGAAAACAATGTTCATGATTGGAAAATCTGAACAATTTCTACAAGTGAAATGTACAGAACATATATTAGTCCGAAAGTGGAGGGACCAAAAATGCAACAGTTTTGTGAAGACTGATATTTAAATATCAAGTAATATATCAGCTATACAGGGTGTCCGCAAATTTCACCGACAACGTTTGACTGCACATTTACGAAGAAAAATAAAAACGATCTACGAAAAAAGTTAAATAAAAAATTTTTGGTTTTTGAGTTACAATACCTTCAAAGTTGTCAAAAATAAAACTAATTTAATTAATCAAAATAAATAAAAATAAAATTAATTAATTAATTTAATTAATAACTTCATAACCCTTTTACCGATCGCGTTAAAATTTGGTACATTTATTTGGACCATTATTGCATATTATTTTTTAAAGTTTTAGTCAATCGCCTACAGAAAGTCATTCTTGAGAAAAATGGCATTATTTGCATGTGTGTACGTTTCGGTTTAAAACTTTGAGTTCAGTAGGCGACGAAAACAAGATCTTGATTATTGTGGCTATAAGGTAATGTGGTAATGTGATTATTCTCGTATTTATTTAGTATTCTCATTACTCCACACATGCTGTTACTTTGTTTTTTATTATTACTTTGTTTTTTTATTATTAAATTTCGAGTGAATGTTCCGGCATGAAAGGCCACACGTACGCACCACTCCGACTTTTCAACAACTCAGAGTGGCAAATAAACATGCCAGGCACCTACCTTTTTTGAATCCAAACGGCTGCTTGCCGGCCTCCGCGCTGCCCTGAATTTAACACAGCCGATTCCACCTCGCACCCAAGCGGCACTTATATTGAGATCAACTGGGTAAACAAAACACTGTACATATATAATTTTTTACACCTCGCCAGCCTCTACACTATTTAAGTCCAAAATAGATCACTCCGCCTCACTCGGGCGTTACAAGGAACTGAAACCAACAAAAAACTAGCTTGGATCGGATGAACCATGTACATGAACCACACTTCGATGCTAAACTCTAACTAACTGATCCCCCCGAACCGATATCTATACCCGCGCCGTAATAGGCGCAGGCTCCCTCCATGGCGCGACACGCCGTTCTGTTATTGGTTGAGCACGCTCTGAAGCCCGACTTCCCTGGCTTCACCCGCTTTCCCTATCTCTAGCACGCTCGAGTGAATCCAATATAACACCCCCCCTTCTCTGAAGCGGTCTATTTTGGACTTCGGTATTTAAGTGTGACTAAATATTGATAGGTTTTTGTGATTGTCTTACGCGACGTGTGAGTGGTACTGGACGAATGGTGTTCTTTATTGAACAAATGATAATAAATATGACAAAATATTGAACATAACAATGGTTGCTTGTCGGGCGAAGACTATAACAATTGTGCTTACCCGGTATATAAAAATACATACACACATATAAAAATAAACTTTGGTATTCGTGCAACGGGCACAAAAGTGATTAAGGTATATGGTTTACATAAGATCATGCATAGATAACATTTAAACAGAGGTTTTTTAGACCTAGTATTACAATGGTTAATATAAAGGTAAGTAACTACTTTGTCCGTTAAAAAGTCCTTGGTCGCTATAATAGTGTCTTTATCACTCGGTGAGCGTCTCTTCACTTCACTGTACACTCGCGTTTCACTCGGAAATGACTCTGGGTGGCACGCACTCGTCATTACTATCGCGCACAAGCGGTGACTTATCCCGGATAATTAACCAAGATCGTAGATCTCCTCGTCTTGGGGCTGTTGAATCTAGAGGTCGTCTGAACGGAAGCTTAGCTGTTTCCGTAGCTCGATTTCCGGATCTGATAACGCGGTTCTGACTGTTTCGACGGAGGTCCTCATGGCTGCGGCCTGGGTCTAAGCGGGTAGAAGAATCCGTGCTTGGATCTCTCGATTGAGTGTTTCGTGTTTTCATACAGGTAGGTATGAAGGTTCTAGTAAAAAAGGATCGGGTGCAGTGACTAGATTTCGTATTTGCAGGTGGAGCCTGGACTGGTTCTTCAGTGGGGTTTCTGTGTACGAGTGCCGTGGTAGTGATTGTTACGGGTCCTTGCTCTTCATCGCTGGATGAGTCCATCTCTACCGCAGTTGGAGTAGGTAGCTTTTGTCGTTCCTTTAACGTTGGCGGTGATGGTGGTACGTTTGGTATTGATTCGGTATTGGATTCGTCATCGTCATCGCTCGACCAATTATCTTCTGTGGCAACTTCCGTGGTTCTAGGTGCGGGTCGGAGGTCGTCGACGTGTATTTGCGGTCTGGTTCCGTTCCTTTCCACTTCGTATATTGTGTTTGTTACTTTTATCTTCACCTCAAACGGTCCTTCCCAGACGGGTACAAAAGCGTTTTTCCTATTCACAAACACCTTCGCCATTACTTTATCTCCCACGTTGAATTGGACTGAGGGGTCCTCATCTTCGGCGCTGATATATCGCTTGCCATAATCTGGCCTTTTCTTGAGCCCTTTGGCGATCTTCTCGTTGTTGTCGTTCCTGTTGATAGGTCGGGACGTGCCAGTCTCCCGCCCTAGGGGTGGCGGTGGCTTCGTTTGTTCGGTTCCTTAGTTCATGCATTACTTGTGGCATGGATTCGTCCCACACGTTTTCCGGTTTATTGAGCTGTATGGCTCTAAGTACCTTCTTAAATTCCTGTACTTTGCGTTCCACCGGATTTGATCTCTGGTGGTAGATCGCTATCCTTAGTGGCTCTATACGGTATCGCTGGCAGAACATCTCATACTTGTTACTAACGAATACACCTCCATTGTCGCTTATGATGCGCTTCGGTGGTCCGAATCGGGTTACGATTTCCTCCTCTAGGTATCTCGTTAGGTCCTTGGCCTTAATGTCATGGAAAGCCTTAGCCTCTACCCATTTTGAGAAGACGTCCTCTACTATGATAACATACCGCCTTCTCCTTCTTGTCAAAATGTAAGGGCCTAAGATATCCACCGATATCACTTCAAATGGGTTCTGAGCCGTATGTGCGTCCATGGGCGCGTGTTGTTGAATTTGTCTCGGTTTGATTCTGATACAGTTGACGCAGTCGCGTATGTAATCTCGTATATGTCTTCGCATACCTCGGTGATGGTATCTGGTTTCTATCTTCCGCAGCGTTTCGGCTACTCCCGGGTGCGTATCATCGTGATAGTGGCTAATCACTCGTTTGAGTATTGAGACGGGTAGAACTAACTTTTGCTGTCCATCGATCAACCTATAGACGTAATGGTTTTCGTCGACGTGATGATTCTCGATGAGCTTTTGCTCCGTCAGTGTAACAGGTTGCTGTTGCGTGATGCGCATCCATTCGCGTCGGGTTCGCTGGATCGCCCTAGACCTTCGCTGTGCCTGTCTACACTCGGTGTCAAGTTCGTCCATGGCCGCCATGGCTATTTGTAAAATAGGTTTATCTGGTAGGAATAGTCGGTCTTCCACTATCGGTTCTCGTTGGGTTTCCGGATCTGGATTGCGACTTAAGAAGTCGGCGAGTTGGTTACTCTTTCCCGGACAATGTTGTATAGTGTATGAATATTCTTGCAAAAGGAGTGCCCACCGTGTCAATTTTGCTCTCGAGTCTTGATATCGGTTAAGCCAGAGTAGTGCGCTACTATCTGTCTTAAGTAAGAAAGGTCGGTCCTCTAAATATACCCTATACCTTTTTACCGCCCAAACGATTGCCAAACACTCTAGCTCATTCACATGGTAATTTTGTTCCGTCGGACTTAAAACCGTACTAGAATACGAAATGATATGGGGTTCGCCGTCGTCCCCTTCTTGGTAAAGTACTGCTCCTAGGCCGACTTCTGACGCATCCGTTTGCAATATAAATTTTTTATTAAGGTCCGGTCGATGCAATACTAAAGGTTGTGAAGCTAACGTTTTAATTTGCTCAAATGCGACATTGCAATCTGAGTTCCAAGCGAATTTCCGTTTTTTTCTAAGTAAATTGGTCAGTGGCTTCGAGCATTCGGCTAGATTTGGAATGTACTCTCTTAACCAATTGCAAGTTCCGAGGAACGCTTGCAAAATACATGTTTACTTTAAACAAAACACTGTACATATATAATTTTTTACACCTCGCGTACTCTCTTAACCAATTGCAAGTTCCGAGGAACGCTTGCAATTGCCGTTTAGTACGTGGAAGCGGGAAATCTTTTATGGCTAATACATGTTTACTTTGCGGAATGGTCGTGCTATGATCTATGTGGTACCCGAGATAGTCAAGTTCATAAACTGCAAACGTACATTTATCCGGAGAAATTTGGAGGTTATGAATACGAAATCTTTCCAAGATTAGTCGTAAATGCTTAACATGATCATCTAAGGACTCGCTAAACACGATTACGTCGTCCAGGTAACAACATACAAAATGGTGAAGGTAACCCGCTAATACCTCACGGGTCATTAGGTTTTGGAATGTTTTAGGCGCCCCTTTTAGGCCGAAAGGAAGTACCGTGAAACGATAAGTTGCCCCATCGTGCGTTGTGAATGCGGTGTAATCTTTTGACTCTTCCTCTAAGGGAATTTGCCAATACCCTGCTCGTAAATCTAAGCTAGTAAAGTATTTCGCCGCTCCAAAGTTCTTTAACGTCTCCCCTATATTAGGTAACACCGTTGGCTCTTCTACCGTAAACGAATTTAGTTTCCTAAAATCTATGCAGAACCGAGGCTTTTTATTTTTACGTTCCACAATAATGGGTGGCGAACTATACTCTGACACACACGGCTCTACTACCCCTAACTTAAGCATCTCGTCCAACTGTTCGTAGATTACGCGTTTTTTTTCAGGTGTAGTGGGATAAGGTTTTTCATTCACTATGGCGGGTGATTTCAACACGATTTTATGCTTGATGGTTGATGTTTTACACTGTCGTGGCTGTTCAGCGAACAAATCGGTATAATCTTGTAACACGGGCATAATTCGCGCGCGGTGCTCATCTGGTAGT